GTTGGATAGTCTTTGATCCATCCTGAAAGCTGATTCATTAACAGATTCAATGAACTTTGGCAACTGCTTTAATCACAGCAAACAATACAGACCTTTATATTCACAGATACATACTTAAAAGTCAATGTAAATAATGATATCTGCAGGTTGTTAAAGTTTGCAAGTGGATTTAGACATATGAAATCTGTATTTCATATGAAATACATGTGAAAAAATGATTTTTTAAAGAATATTGAGACATTCACAGCAAAGAAAGAGAATGAAGAAAGATCTCAGAAAGGCACTGTAGTGAAATAATGACTTTTCAGCATACCGAACAGAGGTCTGCTGACTGCAGACAACCCTCGCTCTACTCACATTATCATACAATTAACAGGATCATGGACATCACACTACAATCTGCTCTAGGATGAACCTTGAACTGCTCACAAATAGCTGGCTGAAGTTCAGCTTATTTAATATACCTGCCACATGCTTACATCTTCCTAGATAGCTATTTAAAACTGGTCTCTTCACACTCACTAAACATATTGTTTACTAGCAGTGGATGACTGTGGATTATTGCCTTGTTTTCATGTGTCTCTCGTTAATTCTCCCATGTCTGACGTCCACTAGTTCCTAACAAATTATCATTCTTTCTTCAGCAATGACGGAAGATTATCCTAAGCATCCCAAGCATTACCTATGTACCTCAAATAATTTTGAGGGATTTTAATACCCCATTTGATTGTGAATGAGAGTATACATTAGAAACTCAACAACTCCGCTCTCAAAATCTCCGCTGAAGGCAGCTTTCCGCACAGCTCCTTCACAATAGCACTGTGAGAGCTCCTCTTTTCAGTACAGGAGTATCTGAATAGCATCAAAATGAAGTATACAGAACTATACAGAAGTATTTTTTTTTTCCTTATGAGCTGCCTATGCTTACTCAGTGTCCACTAGTTCAGGTTGCTGATTTAGTATTAAAGTATTTTTAAGAATACAGTATTTTAATCTTTCCTTGAAAGAAAATCTATTTCCTTTCTTTCTTTTACCACATACTGACACAACTGAAATCTGGCCAATTATTTTACAGGGTTGTCTTACTTTCGTCTCATTTAGAGAGAGGACGCCTAGGGACAAAAGGATTGAGTGCACACAGAAAATGATTTTGGCATAGACAGCAAGGAGGTCAATCCATTTCTCAGCTGTGAATAAGAGCAAATTCTGTTCAGTTCACAAATTAGAAAAACGTTTCAGGTGGACACTTTCCAGTGAACATTTGTCAGAAACATGTAGTGGGCCACAACTTTCAATTATGCTGAAGAAAGTCTGGAATAAACACCATGTAATTCAGGCCTGATAGCTCAAGGGAAAAAAAAAAAAACACTTTCTTACACAATGTTCATGTGAATTTCTCATTGCCATTTGCTTCATAATTTTGTAGGAAGAGAAATAGGAAAACGTGTAATCGGCCATAAAAAAAGAGATTTTGAAAGAAAACTTATAGCCTCCATGGAAATATTTCTTAAATTAAGCATATTAAAACTAATATTCCATATGCAAAGTTCATAGTCATTCTGTGAAGCTTCTTTATCCATAAACGTGAAAGGGAATCTGCATCGATCTGCTCAGAAGAGGCAACCTGCCTCTGAAACCTGCTCACAGGAAAATACAAGACTCATCTCTCTCAATTCTGCTCTGCTTTTCACAGTTAACAACCATCACACTCAGTCAAGGTGCCCTCTTTATGTGACAATAAAGGAGAATAAATTCTATAACATACTACTTGAGTCACAGTACTTGAATATGGGGTGGCATAACTCAGTTTTCATTTGGCAGGTGTTCCTGAGATGCATACTTCTACATTAAGCCACGGATATCCCATTCTGTTCTTGAATTTATTTATTTTAACAGTGGTCTAAATAATAAATAATAAGTAAATAAATAAATCAGAAAGGAGCTTTGTTCCCTCATGAACTCTAAAGGCTCTGCTGCTCACTTACAGGGTTGTGCAAGTCTGAAAAATGAATTGCTAATAACTGAAGCAATTTTATGCCAACAGTGATATAGCAGGATATCAGCAGCATAAGTAATTGCTTTGCACTGTGCACTCATTAGCACATTGGAGCATCTAAACTACCTTTACTAATAAATAAAGTGTACCTTTAAAATTACGTTGCCCTCACAGTCACAAAATTCTGGATATAGCAACCCAAAATAGCAGCTTCTTCTATTTTTTAAAGGATTTCTCTGAACTTAAATGTGTCAAAACCAGAACTTCTTCAGAGGATTCCTGTGGACAGTCCACGGCATCACTTCTTACCAGCATTTCTTAGCAGAGGGCTACAGACAGACAAAGGGTCTCCAAGGCTACAGACATCTCATGACAGTTGCACAATAGCAGCATGACCACAATCAAGGTTTCGGCTGGTATCAGAGCAAAAGAGGGTTTCTTTTTTTTTTCAGACAAAGAGCAGAAAGGCAGCTCTTCAAATAAGAGCCCGCTGAATGGATGAGGGAGGGATTGCTGCCTATTGGAAGACCAGGAAAAGCTTCATGTAATGGCTGAGGAGTGGTGTGATGTCAGCCTAAGTGCTCTAGTCAGTCTGAAGGACGGAATTTTATTGTATTGACCGACAAACATCACTGTAGAGAGAAGCAGAAATTCAAGGTCATGCCTAAAATATCATTTGAGCCACAATCAAAATAAACAGCCAAAGGATATCAGGATATGAGGGGACAATTAACAGACCGACGACTTTCAGGCAGCTAGGTGACAATGTCTGGATTTAAATGGACAAAAAGATATGCCTGGAATAAAGAAAGGGAAAGAGAGAGACAGAGATGTGTGTCATTAAGAAAGTAGGTTGCATCTCAGTTTGCAGATAAGACTATCCACATGAGAGAAGAAGGACAATAACACAGAAAACAGGACTGAGATGCAGAAACCTCTGAAGAACAGAGTGCCTACAGACGATCCGTGGTTTAGGTGGCATGTTTTGTGGGGAGGTGTGTGAAGCTAATTCTCCTTTTGCCTCACAATCTGAGTAGAATATCAGCATGTGCTTCCCTTAAGAAATTTCATGCTTGCATTTCAACTTAAGTCAGTACAAAATAGTTATTTCAGAGTTACAGAAATTATGATTCATGACTTGTAACTTTCTAAAAGCATATTTCTAAGAAAAAAATACTGATGTCATAAATATGAATAAATGAGTAGGTAAAACCTAAATATACATATACTCATTTATGAGGACAGGTTTCAAACTGCAGACACACGTGTAGCTTTCCTGCTGGTTATTCATTTAACAAATGTGAATAGATTGCCCATAGTACACGCATTTTTCTTTAGTACCGAGGTTGGAAATGCATTACTTTAGAGCAATAAACAGCCTCTAGGCAACACATTTTGGGACAGTTACTGTACTTTTCAGACAGTTAACATCATTCAACCCTAGGCACATTACCCAAGTTTTACCAACCATCATTACTCAGAGGCTGATGAAAGTACAGCATCACTTAAGTATGCTGTAATTTTAAATATGTTACGAAAAGTTATAGTTTCTCAGGACTGGAAGATATTCTGTATGCTCTTCTTCATTTACCATTTATCTGATGGTCTTAGGTAAGAATATCTCTGGTTAGGGCTAACATACACATATATTTTAAGTAAGGTCTAATTTTATATCTTGAAACAGAATTTTTTGTTTCTGCTTGTCCCTACTATTAAGATTTCAGAAAGAATAAAGAGAAATCTATCATTAGATATTACCTTGGGATTTCATAAGCTTCAGGTTTCCTTTTTATCATGGCCATTATTAGACTTCTGTTCTGTTAGTATGACAGATATTGTTTCTTCTGAACTGTACCACAATTCAGCACTATAATTACAGAGTCAATCGTTATGGTTGCAGCTTTAAAACTAAGCAACATGCTGTGTTTTCTCCTAATATCAGATATTCAATTTTTCTGTTACCTGAGAAGAATTGAGAACATTTTTCTTAAAACTATCAAAAAGTCCATGGGTATAATAGAAGGCATTTTCAGACTTTATAAGTAGATCCATTCTGTCCATTTATGAGCTTAAATGAAAAAATAAGAACAGATTTTGCAGCTGTTGATTGGTACCAAGTTCTTTACTTGTCCTGTACACTCTTTGTAAAGGATGCCTTAAATTTCTATGTGATTAAAACTTAAGGACTTTTTTTTGTATAAACTACATTTTTTTTTTTGACGTTGGCAATTCTATGTCCTCTTCCTTACATCCCAAAATAGGAGTCAGTGCAGGCCTCTCAAAATAACTGAGGTTTCCCATGGATGTGAATGGAACAGAGGGACTTTGTTCTTACCAACCGGCCACCACCAAGGTCTGGCCATGGCAGTCATGCTGAAAGAGGACAAGTCCCCAAAAGTTTCACAATAAGCAAGTCTTACAAAACAAGCCTTGAAAACAGATAAGCATTGAGATACCAAAAATAATGACTTTTTCCAGGTACCTCACTTTTTTGAAACTATCATCTTGAGCATGAGGTCAGCTTGTCTAAGAGGACAGACAGAACATAACCTCAGAGTGACGTAACAACAACAAAACCATGCAATTTATTTAAAATCTGCTCTACAAGCACAGATACAATTACGGAGGCCCCATGCTTCTAAATTATAATAAAAGACATAAATAATTTTGCATGCCTTTTTACCATATATTCGCCTATCTACTTTTTTGGAATGCTTTAGTCTATTTCCTGAGTTACTGTTCAGTGTGCTGATGATAACAGCACATTCCTATAGTGCTTTTTTACCTATATTCTTAAAATATATTATTAATTTTCATTCCATTGCATTTTAATTCCAGAAATTATAAAACTCTCATATTTTTCTGTTTTTTAAAATGTAAATCAGAGTATAATTAGGAAGGTATCACTTTCGTGATTTTAAAGGTTAATTCCTGATTTTGGGATCATGCAGCGAACCCGCCAATTCAATTCTATGTTCAAAAATACAGGTACAGTGAAACATACCTTGACTTTTTCTAAGTGATCCTGCAGAGAGTCAATTAGCAGATCGCCCACTGGCTGCCAGGAGCCCTTGAACACTTCGGCCTGGCGTAGCTTCAGGTCCAGTTCATCCATTGCCTCTTGAAGGCCCTGCAGTCTTTCGAGGGCATCATCTATCTTCTTTTGCCAATCGGCAGAATTTATATTCAGCTTATCCCACTCCATTCTGACCTCGTCTGCTTGCCTCCGGAGAAGTTTAGCGACATTCTGCGCCCTTTCCTCAGGTGATAACTCTGAATGTGAAATTCAAGAGGCTTTTAGGGTATATTCTGTCTTAAAAGATAAATAACTGCCATCTGGGTACAGCTAAGAAGTTCAAAGCTCAGTAAGAGACTATTCATAACCAGAGACATCTTATTTCATTAACGTACAATAATTCAAAACTCCCTGAGCAAATTTAAGTGTTTCTGTAATATAGACCACCCAAATATGCATTTAAGTACTTAAATGCATTTTTAAACTTCCCACTACACCTTGCACGATGGCCAACTCTATCCCAAATCAGCAAAATAGTTCCACACACACCTAAGCACTGACTGCTGTGAATCATTGGCTAGAGCCGAGTGGATCTGGGACCTTGGCTGAATCCATCCTTCAAGGTGCAATGGGCACTTTTGATCTGCTTGACACTCAATACACAAGTGGATCTGGGACCTTGGCTGAATCTGCTTTTGATCTGCTTGACACTCAATACACAGTTTCTAAACAAACTGCTCTGTGTCTGTAACTTAAATTAAAATTTGAATTTTAGGTTCAACTGCGGCTTTCTTCAGTCAGTGCTGAGGCCTGAGATGGGTCTCCAGTTATACATAGGCCCAGAAGGGGCCCAGGACGTTTAAAGCCAGTTTCAGCATCTACTTATAAATATGCAGATCTATTTAGCTCTGCAGTGCTCAGAAGGCTCACTAAGGGTTTCTTTCATCTATATTTTTAGCTGTTTCTGAATGCTGGGATTCAGCTTGGAGTGCATAAGGGCTGCTCTCACAGAGACAAGCAGGATCTGTTTCATCACTGCTGGTCACCACCGAGCTTTCTAGCGGGGTGTTGTTAGAGCTTTCTTCCGTTACCTCTCGGCTCTTGGCGGGGCTTCTCCAGGCCCTCGAGAGGCTGCTCTGCTGGAAGCATTCGCACGGTCTCCAGTGCACTCAGGATCACAGGCTCTTTGGTTTTCAGCTCCCTCTTGAACGTCTGCGAGTTGAAATGAAAATATCATAAATGGAAGCACAACGAAGCACTGAGTGCTAGCCCACGTTTTGTCGCTTGAAGAACAGAATTTCCAACCACAGCTTCCATGGCTGTTGTCACAGATACTTGCCAAACAATGTAAAGGAGATGATCCTCAGCTTTTGATAAAGCTGAAATGTTTTCAAAGCGGCAACTGCATTGCCAGCATGCAGCAAAGCACTCAAGGTTGCTGATTAAATCATTCCCTGGGAGAGGGACCCCTTGGCTGATAAACATCAAACTCCAGGCGGTGGCTGGAAGGGACTAGGCTTCAGCTGGCTCTGCACTGAACCATAAATGCTCCTTGAGAGAGACAGATTTCCCACAATGTGGTGGAAAACCCAATGTGACTCATGACTGGCAACTACTACATCGTAAGGGGTGAAAAAAGGGATCTGGGGATACTGCCATGCTAACCCTTAACAGTGAGTACATAGAAGAAAAACCCAAAAGACAAACAAAAAATCCAGGGTATCCTCTCCTGGCTACTACTGATCTAGCTGCAGCTTTCCCAAAGATAAATGAACTGAGCAGATTTCTGAGAGGAAGAATCGAGGCCAAGGTGAAAATTTAGAAATAGTCTAGCCTACATTGACTGTAGAGCTGGCTGTATTTCAGTGGGATACGCACATAGAATTCAAAGGGCAGAAAGTAGTCCTTATGAAGTAGTTAAATCCTACTTCCTTTAATTGTTTTTTTTTAATAATTTCCATAAATTTGCACTTAATGTTGCTTAGTAGTAAATTCTGCCCCATTTACAAGACAACACTATTTTCCCCTTATTCTCTCTTCCTTTCCTATCGTTCTGTCTTCCTTGTCTATTTTTGTTTCCTATTTGCTATATTGACATTGTTGTGTTGACATGTTGTATTAAATTTATCTTTATCTTCTTTTACAGTCTTTTATTCCAAAATTTTCTTCTCTTTATATAAAACAAAACTGAGGGTACACTGTTTTCAAGTGTCAGAGTAGTAAAACATGAAAAAGTAATAGTGCAGCGTAGTAAACAAAATAATAGTGTAAAAATGAGAGCCACATTTCATGAGGATTGGGAATAAGAAAACTCCTTTTACAATACACAAATTATATAGATTTCTTTCTTACAAAACAAATTAAACAATTTCGATAATTATTAAACAAACTTTGGGTTACTATGCAAAGTAACAAAAGATCATAAATTCAGCATTAAAAAGTTTATTATACTTTGAATTATATTTGATATTTAATTCTAAGTGCAGAAAGTACATTATCAGGACCCATGGTAACCTGAAGTTTATAATGTGAACATTCATGGGTAAAAGCCCTTAATATACTTCAGGTAAGTAAACAGCAGATAAGCAAACTGAAGCAAATAACTGCACTATTCTACTGCAGATATTTAAAGGAGCTGTTTAATAGCTGGTCAAGAACTAGCCTTATGGTTTTTAATTATGAAGCCAAGAAAACATTTAGCAAAGTATGCTTTCTTGAAGAAAATGGAAAATGTGAATTTTGTGTCACGAACATCAATGGGACTGGGATGACCAAGAATATCTGCCACCACAGAGGAGTCCATTGCTTGATGAGCATCTGTGATAAGTGTTCTTAAAAAAATGATGTTCACCTGTGAGAGTCAACATTTTGATTTCCACAAAGAAGGAAAGAAAAGTATCTTACAAGAAAACTCCCACTGGACACTGCTCTGTGTAACAACAGAATGGGGTTACTCCAGAAGTGAGACTGCTTAGCTTAGATATTTTTAGACTTAGAAATTTTTAGAATTCATATTTGATGCTTGCATAAAGTACAACGGAAAGCAGAAATATAACAAGGCTTTTTTATGCCTCTGAGCAAGAAAAATCTCTTCTTTTAACCTGTGCACACTCTGAATATTATGGTAGAGTACAGCAGGTCTGCAGCTCAAGCAGCCAAAATTAAAACGCTCCTCCCATGAACTGGGAGTTTTACTCTCAT